TTGGTTGCCGTTGAGCAGGGGTCAATGGAATACTAAAGGGCCTGTGGGGGGTGTCAGGTAAATTTCACTGTGACACGTCTTGGTATTGAATCCAGACCCTCCAAGGCCACATGAATGTAACTCATTTCAGTTTCAGCGTAAGATCTGAGTACGAGATTACCAGAATCCTCCGGGAACCCTTCTAACCCCGGCGATAAATAGTAACCAGTCTCCTATGTAATTAATCCTCAGCGATGACATGCCACACGTCCCAAACAGCCAACTGAGTACAAACGAAGTGATAGAAACGGTGAAGAACCTAACCGACTTGCTCAGCGCTGTCTTTCCAAACACAACGGTTTATCCGGCCCTCGGAAACCACGACTACCATCCGAAGCACCTGATGCCACCCGAACCGAATTTCATTTACTGGGCAGTTGGTGATTTATGGAGCCGATGGCTTCCTCAGGATGCGGTGAATACCTTTAAAAGAGGTAAATGACACTCACAAGTATATACAGATGCTCTAGATCTAATCCTTCAACTTCTTAACAAAGCTAATTTAGAAATTTAAAAATTTCCGTAAAATTGCCTCTTTGTAAAAGAATGCGAAAAGCTCTTTATTCCAAGAAAGTGCTGCCATATACATATGAGTGAATTAATTTGTTCTAGTCGACTGTTCGCACGGGACATCCATAAGCGGCTTGGAAGGGCGAAGAGAGGAGACTATCATGCTCTATAACGCGAGAGGGCTTTCTAATGTCTCATTCAAACTGTCACTTCTCCACGAGCCCATCCGCACCAGTTGCGTGAAAGGAGAGAATTATTGCCATTTTCATTTCGATGCTTCTTTCAAAGATTTCAAAGAAGCTTTACATTTTACCAGGAAACTAACATAAAACAAAACAACAAGCAAACAAAGTATGACTATAATGATTGTCCAGCTTTGAATGTCTTCCTTTTTGAATTAAAAGCTTCAATCGAAAATGAAGCCACAATTTTGTGAATACCATTCAGATTTTCTGGAACAATCTGTCTTGTATATTAGCTCACTGTGAAGTAATTTAAAGACCAAAAAAAACATCTAAAACCTCTCTGTTTTTTCTTCAGGCGGATTTTACACAGTTCTCATCAAGCCTGGCTTGCGTTTAGTCTGTCTAAATACCGTGTATTACTATACAAACGACAAGCTAACAGGGAATATCTCTGATCCAGCCAGCCAATTTACGTGGCTAGACGATGTGCTCACTGAAGCAAGTCGCATCAACGAGAAGGTGTGTGTCCATCTGAGATTTTTTCTATCAAGATAGTTAAAGTTACTCTTGTCTAAGTTTGTAAATTTTTCAGAAAGTCCCGGTCAGCCATCCAGTCAGTCAGTCCGTCAATTGGGCAGTCAGTCGGCCACTTACTCAATAGGTCCGTCAGTCAGTAGGGCCATCAGTCAGTAGGTCCGTCAGTCAGTCGTTCCGTCAATTGGGCAGTCAGTCGGCCACTTACTCAGTAGGTCCGTCAGTCAGTAGGTCCATCAGTCAGTAGGTCCGTCAGTCAGTCGTTCCGTCATTTGCGCAGTCGGTCGGCGAGTTAGAAAAAAAACCAACACGAACGTGTTGCAACCCTCTTCTTCCTTGTTTTGATCAAACGTATAGCATGCATCTTTCTACGTTTTATCTTAAAAAATCATATTTTCCCAGGTGTTCATTATAGGTCATGTTCCGCCCGGTGCTTTTGAGCGAGCTCCGGGAAAGAAGTGGTTTTATCCCAAATTCAACAAAGATTACATTGCTGCCATCATGAAACATGCTGACGTCATCACCGGCCATTTTCTTGCTCATCAGCACTGCGACAGCTTTAAAATTATCTATGACGGGAAAGGTAAAACTCAGTAGCTAATAATGAGCAAGATTATTTATCCTTAAATTTATCGTTAAATCAGAAATTTTTAGACAATGACCTGACTGAAAGTGAGAGTTTCAAAGGAAATAAATTAATCCTTTACACCCTGACGTATGCATATTCTCCAAACTGTTTTCTACACGTTTCTTAACTTGCTGACAAGGAGAACTTGGAAGGGATTCAAACTCGTTTATCCCAGATACTAGGGTAATTTAGTATTATAAACTGAGTTGATAACGTAAATTGGCCACCGTAAAGAGTTTCAAAGCTGACGTTTCGAGCGTTAGCCCTTCGTTAGAGCGAATGATGAACGGCCAACGCTCGAAACGTCAGCTTTGAAACTCTTTACGGTGGCCAAGTCACGTTATTAACTTAGCTGATAATGCTAAATTACCTGTTATACTCTCCCACTGACGTAGCACCACCGTTTCTTTAGAAACTTACCCCCTTTATTCTAGTTACTAGTTGGGTGTTATTGATTTAACTCAGCTATGAAGCGGAGCAAATGTTTTGCTTATTATTAATTTCCAATCATTGTGACTTTATTCAGTGAATCAAGACAAATTATATTTATTTCACCAGACCCCGCTATAAAATCAAATAAGATTGCCCTAAGTTGGTGCTGTGCCCTAAAAAAGGAACCTTGTTAGGATTCCTGCATCATGAAGATTTAACCAAGAAACAATAACTCACCTAAATTTTTTCTTTAGTTCCTAAATATTTCGCTCTCTTTCTGATGAACCATTGCTTTAAGACCTTAGGAAATTTTTTTACGCAACTTCCAAAACATGTCGCCGTCAAAAATGTTTCCTGCTCATCTAAACTACTGGCGGCATTGCCGTTTTTAATTGTCAGGCTATCACCAAAGTGAAGAAATTGATAATTGGTATCACAGCGACACGGCCATGCAACAAATAGCTTCTAGATGAGGAAAATTGTTATGCACTGAGCCGACCATTGTAACAACAATGGAAATTTGAGAATACATGTATTCTTTATCCGCCCCGACAAGAAAATTAGTGCACATTTTCGAGTTTGTTTTAAAGTAGACAGCGGACTTTTCCAGTCTAAATGAACGCTCTTCTTCATTATTTTCCCAGTAAATCTAACACCTATAAACTAGTAAACTGGATAAAACACCAATAAATGAGTGTCGGCAATACTTTGTAAAGATAAAATACTGGAGAAAAAGAAAACTCAATTAGAGACTTTATTAGCGATTACAAATTTACATAGACTGTTCTGTACTGCCAGCTGAATTGAATCGAACCAAAGAAATCAGATTCCAAGGAGTATAGGTATATTTTCCTGTTTAAAAATTATATTTTGCATCTTACCGAAATAGCCAAGAATGCAAGTAAATCTGATTTCCAAATTCGGTCCGATTATTTGTAGAACTTGCAGTGTAGATCGAAAGCGGACACTTCTGAAAGTGAAAATTGGATTTTTCTTTTGTTTACGCTCTCTCCTAAGAGGAAACCCCATGCAAAACAATTTACTTATGGCAGTGAAATTTGTCTTTCATTTGCAAATCAACAGAAATATAACCTTTTGACAAAGCAGCAGCACGATGGGAATGGGTTTTGTCAAATTTCCATCTGTCCGCCGTCCATTGTGGTGTACTTTCCCTCTTGTTTTTTCCGTAGGCGGACATCCAGCCTATTTTCCTTTGGCGTCCGCTAGTAGGAATAATTCTCGTAAGCGGACAACGAACACTTTTTCCAATTCCCGAGGGTGTCCGCTTACGAGCTAATCGAGAGTTGACCGTATTCCTTATCGTATTAAAAAAAAATTCACGGCATAAGCTTGTCTTTTAAGAACGAGTTATTGTGGGCAATGGTTTTGCCCAACGATTTTTTTTCCAAGGAAACGGGCCAGGAAAGTTAGAGCCTTTAACTGTCATCAAAAGAATTGGAATTTGAGTGATATTCATACGGTTTCTTTGTGGTGGCATAACAGTTGTTTAACCTTCCACGTAAGAATTTTTCCTAAATGTCTCTTACAAGCCGAGGAAACAATCGGTTAAGATCAATGTACATAAAGAGTGAAAAAAAAAGGTGATTTAATGCAAGCCTCAAGATGTTTGTAACTTTATACATCTTTTCTTAATAACTTGCCATAACCAGCTTAACCTTTTTTGTGGGCAGTTATTTATGGAGGATCGTTTTTGTGTGTGTGTGTGTTTTTTTTTTCGGGCTCAAATCCTAACCTGAGAAGTAGCGAGAGATTTTTATGAAAGTAGATGTGAAATAGGCGGAAGTTGATGGAAACCTGTCGAGGAAGATCTCTCTCCGGGCAAAAAGGTCATAAATGCTATTTGCTCTCACCGTAAACGAAGGAAGACAGTCTTAATAAAAAAATTTTAAAAAAAAACGCTTCGGGCAAAAAACGGTCATTTTGTTCAGCTAAGCGATCCATCGCGTCAATACGGTGAAAATCTCGTTGAAAATCGGTCTTTGTCCATTTGAGAATATTTAAGTGCCTTTCGTGCGTTTCACCAATACAGGGAAAGATACCTATCACCAGAGGAGTCGAGGCGACATATGCCCTTGAAACCAAAGAATAATAATGGGACATAATTTTGTCTTGTTTGAAACGTGACTTTAAGTTTATTTCCGGCATGGTGATGACCCTCTAATTATCGGAAATGTAAGGCGAAGAGTAATTACGGGTTTTTTTCGGAGAATAAAACATTTTCAAATTCACCAGCTGCCCCGTGTGTAGTTATTAACTGTTTTTTGGCATGGAACATTTATCTGGAACTTCTTTTCACATTTGCGAATTTTGCAAAGTTGCATTTTACGTCAAAGAACTCGCCAGATTGTAATTCATTTTCCGTGTTCTTCTTGAGTACTGGTTCTACAAATGTTATCCCTTACTCGATAGATAAGTCCCATTGTAAGTCTGTTTTTGTGAAAATTTCATCATTTTTTTATCCTGAACCTTATTCAACTTTGCTAATTTTGTAAAGCCGCACTTAACGAGACTAGATTGCATGCCAATTAGTGAAAGATCTCAGCAGGAGACACGTTGTTAATTTCTCGGGGAGTAAAGTTTTTTTCGAAATCATAAAATGCCCCGAACAGACCTGAAACTTGCAAACATTGTTCATTGATCAATATTCTACTATAGCTCACTCTTTAGGCGTCAGGCTTTTAAATTTCGATTGCATGACGTGTGTTTACTACTTTCTACATGTCTTGTGCGTGAAACCCAGAGATAAAGTATTTTGTATTCCCGGCTAACCGAAGAGAAAGCTTAAATATGTATTGCAACAACTTGGAATAGCAATGACGCGGTATCTCGGCTACAGATACAACCTTTTTCCATCTGAAACGCGTGCTGCCATTCTTAAAGTACAAAACACGACGCCTCGTCGTTCACCTTACCCATCAAATGATGAGCGCCATCCAATCAGATGCGTCGTACGACAATCAGATGATTAACAGCTGATTCGATAAGGCTGGGGGGTTCGATAATGATTCGACGACTTTGTTTCGAAAGTGCTAGTTTATCTTCCTTCTGTTGCGCCAGCGTTAAGGAAGTTAAGGTAACGGTCAATCAGTCTTTTATCTCTACAAATTAAAAATGCACTTCTTAATTTAACATTGATTGGACGGATATAAAAGCCGAGGCCACAAACTAAATTTCCATCTCGGTGCACCGAACGTGTTCAAGAAACTCTCATTCGTTGAAGCATCAGCTGTCATGAACAACATTGACCCTGGTGATGCCAGCGTGGATGTACTGGCTATTTTACAAGACCAGCTTGAAGCCAGAAGCAAACCAACTCTCGTAATAGAATCAACCGTTTTGATAACCATTAATATCACTGCCTTGCTTGGTAATGCCATCCTTTGCTTCATCACCTATCGCAACCCAAGGCTTCGTACCCCTACCACGATGCTAATTGTCGCCCTGGCTTGCACAGACCTGTTAACCGCTTTTTCTGTGATACCACTGACAGTTGATGCCGTCATCAACAGCAGGAGGCGCTTCGGCGATGGGGTGTGCAGATTCCAGGCTTTTGCAATGGCGATTTTTGCCCAAATATCTATCTACCTCATGGCTTTGACGGCTTTCAATCGGTACCTATGTGTTAAGAAACGGAACCTTTACAAAAAAATATTTACGAAGAAACGTACATTGCTTCTTATTACCGCCATTTGGATAGTGGTGCTGGTCATCAATGGGTTCCCCAATGTTCTTTCGCTGGATGATGTCTTCTTCTGCCCAGGTTACTTGCTGTGCTGGAGGAGGATGATGAGTCCAGCTTCTATTTACTTGTTCAACGCTTGGCTTTATGGTTCCTTCGTGATCTCCTATGTCGTTATTGTGGTGTGTTACTGGAAAGTGTTTCGCGCCGTGGAGCAGCACAGCGTGGCCGTAGCTCCAAGCCTGAATCAAGCAAGCCAGAATACCCAGGCTAGAAACCATTCTGAGGAAGTGTCTGTGGCGAAGGCAGTGGGATCTATCGTGTTTTCTTTCACCATTTGCTGGATACCGTCAGAAGTGATGGACACCATGGACAAGATAAACCCACTTCTTTTACCTCGTCAGGTAAGATTTTTTATGGTACTTATTTGAAAAAAAATTTTAGATGAAAGTGACGTGTTTAGGGTCTCGTTGATCAATCTGAAAAAGTATGCTCTATTGGTCAGTGACAAAAAGAGATAACGAGATAAAGAAAATATATTTTTATTGCAGTCTGGTTACGAATCATACACAGGATTTAAACCTATGATCATGAGATTTCATTCAAAACGTGAGCGCAAAGTCACATTTCTAAATCTTGGTAATTCTTTAAATTTTTTTCGGTCTTCAATCCACAATTACGCATGCTTGAATTGAAAAACACCGTTTATAGGATCATTTCATGATTGCAATTTTCTTTTACATCCAAAAACGTCCATTTTTCGGACTGGCGTTTTGAAAATGAATCTTTATGAAAATCACGCTGTGTTCTTATATCAGACTCTTTCGAATAAAAATCCTTTTTTTCACAATATTCAAGTAAAACGAATATGGTCTTTTTTCAAAGACATTTTTAATACGAGTTGAAAAAACCAACAAATTCATTCACGTTAGGACATTTTCTTTCCCCAAAAAATCATCTGCCAAGTAATTTTCTCCATTGTTAAGAAATCTTTGCGGCAATTTTAGTCAACTACCAAAAGAGGACTACACGTAATTAGTCATAATGATCTGATAATCAACTATTGTTCATTGTCTTTCCGGCTCTTCCTTCCTCTTCCTCACTTTCTAAATGAAGACCATTTTTCTCTTCGACCATCCTACCCGTAAAAATTGGTAAGATTTAATGAAAATTGGGGGAATTTAAATCCTGGAATACCGTTTCACAGAAAGGTGTCAGTATTAAAACAAGAAAGAAAAAGCTACGGGTAAAAAGAAAACAAACAGTTTTACGTAATAACATGAGTAGGAACAGAAATACACTAATCCAGCCTATTGTCCATGTTAAATAACGAAGGTCACAAGCATTATTTTTACATGGAAATGGATGTAAATCTCATCTTCGAATATCGTGCGTCATGCATATGGCTAATGCATCAATGGAAGATTTAGCCAAATTTTTCCGATTTTATCGTTGCCATGCCTCCCTCTATTCTCCATCCTTAGTGATCCCCGTCACTGTTTGATTTATTTACCGGCAAACTATTTCTTTTGTCAAAACTCCCTTCATTTTGAGCAAATTTCTTTGTTTCTATCAAGATGGACCTAAGGATTTTCACAATAATATTCCTAATGAAATTCCTTTAAAAAAAGCGATATCTACTGTATTAAATATTTCTCTTCTATTTAGGTTTTCATCTTTGCCACTTGCTTGTGGTTTCTCAGCAGCGCCATCAACCCCGTCATTTATGGCGTCATGAACAGCAACTTCCGATCTGAGTACAAGAGAATGTTCGATGATATCTTTGGTTCTATTAGTCCTCAGAGAGCGATCTCGCCAAGTGAAGGCCAAGATATGTCCAGCCAGGGAAATAATTCAGCATGAGAGCATTCAAATTTTTAAAAAGAAGGCATTCATTTTTCCTTGAGTGTCTCTATGTCGCTCCGCGCAAGTAAATTTATCCTAACCGTCAATTATGTTCTTGTTGTCCTTTCTTCGTTTGATTTTCATTTACCCTGTCTGTTATCATTGTAAATTTATGTTATTTAAGTAATATATTCATGTATTTCAGAAACCACTGCTTAAATAATTAGAATTGGAAAATCTATCGGTGCGTTTATAGACTATATTGGCTTTAACATGAACTTACACATAACTTGTTATATCTTATAAACCTCAGCTGTGAAGTGTGATACAGGTTAGACGGTAAACTTAGTTGATACATTTTGCATAATGAATGTATGGCTAGTCGATGTTTGACAGGGACCACAGTGCAACCCAAAATTTCAGATTTTTTTCAAATTAGTAAGGCACAAAAGGCTTCTCATGTTTCAAAAAGTCTGAGGTTCTCAGCTGGTGGCCTTACCCTGATTGTTTGGAAGCAAAATGTTGTCCATGAAAAGAAAGTCGCGGACGCATAAATTTCGAATATATGAGACTGGCTTTAAAATGTACTTGCTGCTACACAATGTTAAATGGTAGATATCTATTCTCAGAATGTTTTCTGAATTACTCCTATGTTCGAGCATGAAATGTTATGTATTTTTACCCTGCTTTGATGAACCACCAATAAATGAATGTTTATCCAACCACTTTATTGTGTTTTTATATGTCTTTGTTTCCTATTTGCAATTGGCCTTACAATATAAAAATAATTTAATGTATAATGTTAATGGAGTGCAGATGACAAATTTCCTCCAGACCCAAGCATTCATTATTTCTATTTGTTATTGATGTTGTTTTGCTTTTTTTTTTAACTTCGCTTTAATGCGAAATCTACGCTTCCTCCTTAGGAATTCCTACAAGTTCCATTTTTTTGTGCCCTGCGGTAACACCCTGGAAGACAGTACTACCCACTGTTGGCTACAATAATCCTGGCATTCGGCTCTATAAGTATGATAAGAGCACCATGCACGTTAAGGTAATGAGCAAGGTACCCCCAATGAATACAGCGATCACCAATGCCAAAAGCTTGTAAGCTGGCATTAACTTTTACGTAGTAGTGAGCCGGCATGGACTTTTATGTAGTAGTGGCTTAGGTGCCGAATAGACCACACCAAAGGGATGCCTTGGCGCAGCAAAATGGACGCTCTTGATCCACAAGGGGCCTAAGACAGCAGCAAAATTACGGCACAAGGGTTACGTTACAGCTTTCCATCTTGAAACAGCTTTCCATCCTGAAAACTTTAGCCTGAATTTGTTTGTAATCTCTTCTTAAACCCTCCAGTGAATCTTCCCCGAGTTATTCACCCTCATTCTTTTTTGTCCATGGTTACTTCTTTCAATTTTCTTTTTTAAGTTCTCATGGTCGCACTTTTTGACCTTCAGTTTGATGATATTTTTTTCATCAGCGTCTGAAAGGATGCACCATACTGTAATGTGGTTTCTCCAAGTACCAAGTATCCATCCAAAGCTTGCCTACACTTTCTTCATTACGAATAATCCCCCCCCCCCCCCACCCCCTCAAAAGTAAGCTTAGGGCGATTTTTTTACCAGAAAAGATCACACCCAAGCGGAAAATAACCTAAGTGTTCTGCCAGTGTCGCTTTGTCCAATCCAATCCCTGCCTTTATTTCGTAACTCTTTTTTCTGATTTGTTGTCGCGATATATTCAGTACCCCTTTCACCATTTAGTGGAGACTGCACTGAGTATGAGCAGTCAAGGCTTTCGTTTAAATATGTTTTCAGCAGGAGTTCACTTGAAATGTTACTGAAATGGGTAATTTAGTGTTAACAACTGAGTTGTGAACCCTAAATTACTACATAAACCCACACACAACCCACAATCCCTCCAATCACTCTAACGAAGGGCTAACGCTCGAAACGTCAGCCTTTAAATTCAATTTGCTTTTTCAACTCAGTTGTTAACACTAAATTACCTGTTATACTCTCCCACCGACGCAGCACCACAGTTTCTTTAGAAACTTACCCAATTACTGAAATAGCTTACCTCAATGTTGTTCGTTTCGTTTTTATCTTGATTAGGATGTTTGGCAGTACTTTACTAACCTAACACTGGCCAATATGATGTCCAAACCGGAGTGGGTACTAGAATACAAAGCTACTGACGCCTACCGCATACCAGATGTGAGCCCAGAGTCCCTTCATTCACTGGTTAAAACGTTCAAAACTCCGGGCAGTTCAAACTTCGAAAAGTATTACTTATACAACTCAGTGAGCGCTGGTGGCGAGAAGTGCGACGAGGAATGCAAAACAGCACAAATTTGTGGTATTACGGAAGTTGATTTTGAGAAGTATGATGCCTGTGTGTCGCCCTCCACAAGTTCATCCCATGTGAAGTCTGCAACGCTCTCGGTCTATGTCGCAATTATTGTTGTTTGGGCACTTGCTGTAATAATTACATAGAATTAGTTTATTGCCATAAATACGTAACACTTTAATTCTACTGATTGTTTATTTTTAGTGAAGGCGGCATTCCGAGTAAGCATCATTTGCATGATTGTTTGTTTCTTGCTGTTGTTTTGCTTTGTTTGTTTGTTTATTTTCTATATTTGATTTTTTGTTTATGCATACTCTTTTCTTTTGCTTTATTTGATTTTTTTTTGGTTAACTTTTGGCTTTAGCCTGATAAACTATGAGTAACATTTATGTTTTACCAATTGAAATTTCATTAAAGTTTCTTCCAACATTTGAGATTTACTTTTTTTTTTGAGCCTTAAATTCAAATGAGAATATTAATCTAGGATTGCTGTTTGTGTAATAAATTGTGTAGATATTCTTGTCATTGTTACTATCAAACAGGTCCAAATAATGAGATGTGATATGATGTGGTAGCTGCCTCATAGAGTCGAGATAACCAAAAATGCGCCACATAGTATAGCAGATAATAATAATTAACAATTATTCACCGAAGTGGAGGTGAATTTACTGTAAACTGGTCGGCAATTAAACTCCGGGTGAGGGTGAAATGTGAGAGTGAATGGAATGTGATCGGTATTTTCCTTGTGTGCCGTTTGTAGTGCTGACTGTCGATCTATTTAACAGGGTAATTAAATGATATCAACTGTGTTGAAAACGTAAATTGGCCACCGCAACGAGTTTAAAGGCTTACCCCCTTTATTCCTTAGTCGATCAATTTGTTGGGTGCGATGGTGGCTCCTTGAAAGACAGAAACAGGATAGCCACATATATCGAATAACTGACAAATTGCGTCTGATTTTTCTACTATCTTTCAATACTAGCTTGTGTGAGTAGATTGATGATCCCCTAACGAAGTGTGAATGGAAAATAATACCTATCGTGAAATAATTTACTTACAATTCTGAAAAAGCGCAGTTTTTTAACAAAAATGCTGTATTATTTTCTTTCTTTGTGTTGGGGTTGGGCAGATGTTTCTCGTTTAATTCTTAAATGTAAATGCGTATAACTGCATTTATAGGGGAACTCATATTGAGCGTTGGTACTTCCCTTTTTCGAAAATTTTATTGTTTTCATTAGTCAATATTAGTTAGGTTGACGTCTTTATGTGAAGCACTCGCTCAACAATGGACAATAGTAGCGATTGCATCTTGGGCACGGGTTGCTTTGAGAAAAACACTTAAGCTTTCCTTTCTTTTGACGCACAAGTAGAGTTAAAAGTGATATTGACGACTTCAATCGACCAATGGTCCTCTTTCATTCACTTTTATCATTTAAGAGTAGCATTGTTCGTTCTTACCAACATACCGAAACTGTCATTTACTGAATCTCTGGTGAGGCTAAAAAGCCATCATTTTCTGAATGAGAAGCATTGAGTGAAAATGGGCTCTTTCGTTGCCTCGGTTACCTCTGAAAACAACTTTCATCGACAAGGAATATTAACCGCGCTTAAAGCACGGCCATTGGCGGTAACTGAGAGGGATAATCCATCCAAGTAAAATAATACTTAAATACCGGAATGTGAGCCTCAGTGGAGGATCATTTTGTGGCAGAAAATAGTTGTAACTGCAAATTTTATCGACAAAAAATTTTATCTGCCCTTTAAGCACGTACATTAGTGGTAACTGAGAACAGTTCATCCCTTTCAAGCAAAATAATACTTAAATTCCAGAGAGTTTGCGTCAACGGTAAATCAAGTGCATACATTCTCCAATTTTTTTTTTTTTTGTAGAAAATAAGCTGATGGTTGTCGACACAGAGAAAGGTTTTTTGCTTCTTGAGTTTGAGCCATGAATAACATTGACCCCGGGGACACCAGCGGGGATGTATTAGCCATTTTACAGGAGCAGCTCGAATCCAGAAACAAAACAACTGTCGTAGTGGAATCCACTGTTTTGATTATTTTTAATATCGTTGCCTTGGTTGGTAATGCTATCCTGTGTTTCATCCCTTACGGCAACCCCAAGCTTCGTTCGTCTACAACCATGCTGATTGTGGCATTAGCATGCACAGACCTGTTAACCACCGCGAATGTTATGCCTTTGACAATTGACGCCGTCATTAACAGCCGAAGACGATTCAGCGATGTTTGTTTGTTTGTTTGTTTTTGTTTGATTTATTTGTTTGTTTGTTTTTCCCTTGAAGACAAATATAGACCAGCGACAAAAACATTTCATTTTGATCGGCCGTCTGCTTATTTCCCAAGGTGCCATGAATCATGAGTAACTCATTTGTTGCGAAAGGGCGGAGGGGGGGAAATTTGGTTTTTACAACTTTTCACCATGCACCCCATCCTGGTCATTCCTTTCCAAAGCAGGAGAGGGGGGGAAGTTGGTTTTTACAACCTAGCATCATGCACCCAATCCCGGTCAAACCTTGCGGAAACCAAACATGGTGGATAAATAGCCAAAAACAATTTTCATGAAATGGTAACTTGGGCGTTTCTTCGCTATGCATAGAGGGAACTTATCTTATCTTTGTGTCAAAAGAGGACCGCAGAGGATGGAATGGGTTTGGTACATTATCGCAGTTTATTTCGAAATCTTAAACAACAGTTTATCTCAAAACTGGCTCTAAAAGCTGTGAAGTAACAAACAAAGGACGATGTTTTACATCATTTACACGAGAATTACATTTTGAAATATGAAAAGCTTATCATCTAGCTATATATTTAGCTACCTTCGATATAATCAGCAGGGTTAGCCCTAGATATATATTTCATATACCTTGTAAGAAAACGCAGACAGGATTTCTAGGTCGCTGTCGGTTGCAATAAGGGATCAAAAAGCAGTTTGTTTGTTTTCTTTTGGCCTGGTTGAGTTTCAGCAAAATTGCGTCTTTTTTTGACAACTACTTCATTCGTCTCGGCAATCATTACAGTTCTTTGACGATTCAAATTTTTCATAAGTTTGTTTATGGATGATTTTTCCTTAGTGGAAAAATCATTTGAACTGGAAATCTCCCTTGCTTCCCATTAATCTACATTGGAAAAGTTCTAACCATAATAGGCTTAGTATTATTTCACCCGCACCCTGTAGCTAATCTCGGTGTTGATGAATTCTGGAAGCTATTTGCGTGGGAGCCTAAAAGAATATCATTTTAATTAAAATTTTAAATAAGAACCCCTGAGGAGTAATGAATTGGCATGGAATTGGAAAAGTTCTAACCATAATAAGCTCGCAGCAACACTCTCTTTCCGGGACCCTAACGTCTTTCTGTCAGTAAAAGCTAGTCTCTTCGTAAAGAAGAAAATAAAAGCAAAACATGCTTTCGAGGGTTATCAGTGCACATTCCAACCCATTCTTACGCAATGAAAATTATTAATACCACTTTGTAATAATTCATATTAGTGAGAACAGTGAGAAATTAAATACAGTTCTCTCAAGATTTCGTTGTTCCACTGCATAATCAAGGATAAAAAACACTCTTTAGTACAAATCTACATAGGATGGTGAACTGCTACGTAGTGGTAGACATTGCTACTGAACAAGGCTACCGTGTATTAGCACTGTCTACCACTTTTCTTGCTTGCTTTTCTTTCTTGTTTTCCCCGCTCGATAGACAGTTTAACCCAGTTGAGACAACACAGCATCTAAGAAAAGAAAAGAGAGCGAGGCGACCTAACGAGTCAACAGTAAAACAAAAATAATCCTTGTGGAAGTAAATAAAACCTGGACCGTTCTTGGTTAGTGGAAACGAGTGAAATAATCAGGCCATAAAAAATAGGGAAGCCGTTTTCTGACAACCACAACAACATTAGTATGTTCGCCTTCGATTCTACATTGCACACCTCCACTAACCGAAGGACTGAGACAGGTTAGCTCGCATAGCATCATTTCAACGCACTGGACTGAGTCATCTCACATAAAACCGGCTGTGTTAGCAATATAGACTATAAGATCGTACAATTTATCTTTTCATAATTGTAATACTTCAATAAATAAATCGTAATAAATACCTCTTTGAACTTCTCCACAGTAACAGATGCATGTTCACTGGGTAGGATCTTTACGTGAGCAAGGTGATCATTTATCACTTGGAATTCTTCTGGTATTGGCGTACCTGTTTCTAATAGCCATATCTGATCGTCCCTAACTCCATTCAGGCACTCTCTAAGGGCATCTACGGTTTTAAACGTGCTGAAACCTAGGGGAAAGATGGTTGAAGCAATTACTTCAAATTTAATTCTTAACAACGTTTTTTTTTTTTTTCACAAGAGTGCTGCAAGCATAGCCCTATAGGAGCACAGAGGCGTGATTCTCGTTCGCGAGTAATGGCAGATTTTCACTCAATGAGAGCCAAATAGAAGATCATTATAATGACGTACTGAAACCTAGAAGATAGTTGAACCTGAGTATTTTAAAATGTATCTCTTTACCTTGATCTTCCCTCTTTTGGTAAGATTTTTTAGAAGCATAGCCCTGTAGGAGCAGTGAAGTCTAACTTTCATTCATCTATCTACTAATTCAAACCACTCTCCCTCCTTCTCTTCTTTCCCTACCTGCCTATCTTTCCTTCTTCGCTTCCTTTTGTTTTATTTTGGTCGAAAGTAACTGAGAAACTAGATATGAGAACATTACAATGAAACAATTTTTATAGGATGTATAAGTTTGAAGTTAGCTAGACCTTCATCTCATTGCTACAATGGGAAGATTTCCTTTCGGGAAAGAAAAACCCAGCAATATTTGCCTATAGCCCCATATTAATATGTGAGAGGCACGAGCTCGTATCCCGTCAAAGCCTGAATTGTTTCAGGTTTCTTTTCGGCTACTGCTTAAGTTGCAGCCCACCTAGAAGGGTCATTTCTCAATTGTGTTTCATCCGCAGGTCAAAATAGACCAATTGTGAACATCAGTATTAGTTTACCCGCACCCTGTAGCTAATCTCGGTATTGATTAATTCTGGAAGCCATTTGCGTGAGAGCCTAAAAGAATATCATTTTAATGAAAATTTTAAATAAGAACCCCTGAGGAGTAGTGAATTGGCATGGCAGATAATTGTCTACAAGTTGAAACGCGACTTATCCTTGTGGAAACAAGACTGCCCTTCTTTTATCTTTCTAAAAGATTTATCTCAAGTAAATTCTTCCTCTTAGACTTCCGTAAGAAGAAATTTTAGCTGATGGGACGAAGGTTTAGAAAAAAGGCTGATAGGATCAGCAAAGTTCCCTGAAAACAAGATGGCTTAAGCTGTGTTTCGTGCAATGCATTTACCTGAAGATAACCCCACAATGATCAGTCCAGTTTCTTCCTCAACGACAAAATCGTAATTGAATCTCCCCCTTTGCCTCCCACTAGATCTCTCCGTCTCATCCATTTTTCTCTCATAGAAGTCTGTATAATCACTTCTTAAGCACATTCTTAGTTTTTCTTCTCTCCTGAAGAGTCTCTCCGGCGCCTTTGCAGATCTAAACAAATTTTCAGTTGTCTGTTGGTTGTAGTTTAATGCAAACCTCGAGCCATCTTCCCGATCCACCAAAATCCCCATTTGTGCCATAATCAAAAAGGACGCTTTGAAAGTGTTTCAAGATTTCAATTTCAAGAGCGTTCGATCTGTTTACGAGGTTTTTGTACTAACCGAGTTGAATCACTCTAAAGCTCAAAAAGCTGTGAGGGTCTGACACTCACTGACGTCAGCTTGAGAATCTCTTTATTATGGCCAAGTTACATAACCAAATCAGTTGAAAGCGCTCGATTATGAATTTTGATTATAATTCAAATTTCTAAAAAATTGCAACTCACTGGAAAGTGCGAACACCCTCGGGGATAAGCGCGTAACTTGTTTTTTGGCTCTTTCAAAATTTCATATTTAGGTTGATTTGCAAATTCAGGCCAAATTTTATTGCCAACCAGAGGGTTTCCGCTTACAGAGAGCGTAAATAAACCAAAATCCAATTTCATTTTCAAAATTGTCCACCTCCGCTTACCAAAGAGTAAGCTTCCGGGAATGTGTACATTAATACAAAAATGTATACAGTTGTTAAATAGTAATGCCAAAAAAAAAATTACTTTTTGCTCAATAAAAGATATTAATTATGGTATTTTAGTTTCCAAGGGGATGTGTGTTCTGTGAGAGGAATGACGTTAAACTTTGTACGCAGCTGTAATGAATCAATTGTTCAAAATCTTTAAGTTATCCGGCCAGAAAATCTTCGCTGATAATCAGTTGCTCGATTTCATCGAGTTATCTATATCCACAACAAGAGGTTAAACTATAAGGTAAAAAACTCTCTATTGCTATGTAATTCATCGAGATCTTCCTCCATCTGAGGGTGTTTCAAATTTTTTTTTAATAGAAAGGGAACCTGCAACTCTATTTAAATCAAAGGGGAGACGAAAATCATAATCTCCAATCTAAGATTTCGAAAATAAATGATAAAGAGCTTCAAGAACTGAACATTGCTTTCGATAAAACATGTTTAGTTCCTTTTTAGTTCCCGCTGTTCTTTGGCTTCTCCAAAAACTCATATTTTGGTTGATTTGCAAATAAAGCCAATTTTTTTGCCAATTAGTGGGTTTCCGCCGAGAGAGAGCGTAAACAAGCCAAAAAACTCCAAAAACTCATATTTTGGTTGATTTGCAAATAAAGCCAATTTTTTTGCCAATTAGTGGGTTTCCGCCGAGAGAGAGCGTAAACAAGCCAAAATTCAATTTCCTTTTCAAAATTGACCACCTCCACTTACCAAAGAGCAAGCTTACGGGAATGTGTAAATAAAAAGTTTTACTGGGAGGCAAAGAGGGGGATTGAAAAACGTGTAAGTACGACTGTCCGCTTACGAAAGGGTCTGTTAGCAGAGATTCAACTGTAGCTACCAAAGCAATTCCTCCTAACTGAGCGAACTTCCTCATCCAAAGGTTGCCACCATAATGACAACGATCATTACAATTGCACTGACTTTTTTTCATTGCATGCTCGGTTTCAAACCGATTTTTTTCAATTTATTGCAACACCCACGATGCCTCCCTCTGCTGTTGCTGATTAAGCATAAGTAGTACAATTAGTGAAAATCTGAAAATCCTAACAAAGTTAAGGCCTCACCTAACGATCAACACACTTAGATGTATTTATTATTCTCCGGGTAAATTACTTTTTAGATGTGTAAAAAAGCTGTTCTTAAATAGTCCTGCCAACGAAAAAAATCACTTTTTGCTCAGTAAAATATGTTTATTTTGGTGATCTGGTTTCCAAGGGGAAGTGTGTTCTGTGAGAGGAATGACGTTAAACTTTGTACGCAGCTGTAATGAATCAATTGTTCAAAGTTTTTAAGTTGTCCGAACAGCAAGTCTTCGCTGATAATCAATTACTCGATTTCGTCGAGTTATCGACATCCACAACAAAAGGTGAAACTTTAAGGTAAGTAGTCCGCTATTGCTATGTAATGTATCAAGATGTTCCTCTATCTGAGGGTTTTTCAATTTTTTTTTTGTGGAAAATAAAAATAAAAAAATAAAAAAACCAAAATCGTAATCCCCTTTCTAGGATTTCGATGAAGAGCTTCAAGAGCCGAACAATACTTTCGATAAAACATGTTTAGTTCCTTTTTAGTTGAAGGGAGTGGAGAGAGGTAAAGAAGAGAGTTATTTATCGGACTCTTGCTAATATCAAACGAACGGACACCTTTCTACCCGATCGCCGCTGTTCTTCAGCTTTTTCAAAAGGTCATATTTTGCCGATTCATTTGCAAATTCAAGCCAAATTTTATTTCCAATTAATGGGTTTCCATTAGAGAGAGCGTAAACAAACCAAAATTCAATTTCCTTTTCAAAATTGTCCACCAAAAAGTAATTTACCCGGAGAATGATAAATATACCTAAGTGTGTTGATCGTTAGTTGAGGCCTTAACTTTGTTGGGATATTCATATTGTCACTAATTTTACTACTTAAGAAATCAGCACACCTAGGTACTTGAGAAATTAGGATTGCTCTACTGACAAATGTTTGCTATTTTTAATGGTGGATATCGATTTTGATTTTTCTTTTGCCACGGTATGAAGAATATATATTTAGTTTTGGAAAGATTTAAGGTTAATTTGTTATTACATAACCATTCATAAACAGTATATATGTAGATGGTTATCCATGTCATTTAATAGAATGTCGAGGTTGGTTCCAAAGGCTGTTCGGAAAATCATTGAATGATGTAGATGAGAAACAGAAGAGGACCATCATTTGCATAAACTTACATCGATTCTGTAAGCATTCTCGATGTTGGGTTGGAATTCCAGACCATTCTTTAGAAGAAGTTTCCGGAGCTCCGTTGTACGATCTTCCCCAACATTTTCGGGCACGTTGTAGAATCTCAGGTTTTAATCTCTTGACTAATTCACTTAAAGAGAGTGGAGTGAGGTAAAGAAAACTGCGGGGATGGCTTAGCGGTCAAAGGAACCCATGATTGTTACAGCTACGAAGCCAAATAGAAGGTCGAATGACAGTTTAAAAGACTGAACCTTTCGCGCGAAAGCTGTGGCAAGGGTACTATCAGACAAAAATGTTAAAGCCAAAGAACATTCTTGTTTACGTGACTGGAACTACCACCGGTCCAGTGCTAGATGTAAGCGACAAAGTTGAAGGTAAATATCGAATTCACTTTAATATCCTAATTATTATAGTAGAGTGACCCTGGTACGCATCTTTCATCCATATTGCAAGTTATTTCTAACCTGTAAGGAGCTTCACGAAAGGGACTGTTAGCAGAGAGTTAACCGTAGCTACCAACTTCAATGAAATAGGATATATAATTTTTCCTATTCTCCTTTCCTATACTCGCTCACGCGTGAGCGCAGCGAACTGGAATCGTTTTTCGCTTTAAGCATTTTACCTAAGGTGATAAGTCCCTTGTTCATCTTGGAGGGCTGTAACCACACCTGTGGTTGAACTTTGGCCTGGAGTAGCAGATTTTTGTGAACCGCCATGGCGCTCTTTTGGCGCGCTTTTTCCGCTCGAATGGCGGCTGGATTTTGTTGTAGTTTTTGTGGCCGCCGCTGTCCTCATGTATGAAAGTTGAGAGACTTAACATATATCTTCTAACCCATCTCAAGTGACATGGTGGGATCTTTTTTTCAAAGAAATAGGCTGAGTATGCCGTTTAGAGGAGGAGTCAACGTGCTTCTCTACACCTTTACCTTGTTCTTGATGAAATCCGGCAAGTTTGTCAGTCCAGGCGGTCAAAACTGCGCCTGAAACCGATCTGACGCGGAAAAAAAAACTGTCGTACTTTCGTTTGCTTGTGGCGATAGTTCGCCCATCTTAAATTGCAGAGAAAATCTTTCTCTTTGGAGAGGAACTTCTAACACAGCTAATCTAATCGGCGACAAGCGTTGCACTGATCGGCGAATGCTCTTACAATCTCATGGCTCTCTCAGCATGGAAACGCGGCAGAATTACTTTGCGGAAGAAATAAAAAAAATGAAAACGTGGGTAAAAGTTCATGAAGTCTCGCAACAATGAGGACGATGCGGATGCGAGTAAATGTGGTGATGAAAATTACAACAATAATGAGGGCGACATAGATCAGGAGTCCCGAGTCAGGGATGTTTAATCATCTGTCTTTTAATATCATTTATCAATAAAGGGCAAAATTACTGAGCGCTGATTGGTTGAGAGAGAGGGCATTTTTTCTTAATCGAGGGCATTTTTAGTAATCAAGAGAGGGCATGATTACCTGTTAATGATTGGCTAATCCGTTGCATAGCAACCGTTCGTTATCTTGAAATTTGTTAAAAATAGACTGCGCGCGTGATTTTCCTTCGTATAAATTTTGCCCTTTATTGATAAACAAGTAATCCCATGAGACCTCGTACTATTAAGGATTAATTGCACTTGAGTTTTCAAAATTTTGGAAAATTTTGAAAACTCTCGTGCAATTAATCCTTAATAGTACTTGGCCTCATGTGATTACATATACTAATCCAGGTTAAAACAAAAAGTATCCCTTCATTTTTAGTTTGGCTGATTACGGATCCAAGATTGTATTATCCTCTTCATCAAGAAAAAGACACAAAAAAATGGAACCAAAGACAACGAAAACGAGGCAGTGTTGATGTCTACCTCTGGAAAGCTGTCATAGATCCTTCCAAGCTACAGGTGGAAGATCATCCACAGTTTAAAGGTGTCTGCCTTGTCAAAACAGATGGAAAAATAACTTCTCCTCGTTGTCCAGGAGTAATGCTTCATTCTCTTCAATTTATTATTTTCACTTTTAGGCTTTGTTTAGCTGACCATTGTTCTATCCTTTCTGACATTTTTTACATGAAATCTGCGTAGGAGTAGTCTAAGTGTTGTCAATATCATGGCTGTTTCGAAATTTTTTCCCCATATATTGTTTTCTTTATTCTTTTGATTTCGCGGTTTCTTGAAAAATATCTTGGCCTTTAACTATCTTTTCCACCCATAGAAAGCACATAATTCCCTGCAACTACACAAGGATCTAGATCTAGAATGGGAAAAAGCTGAGGTTCCGAAGTGTCGAGGAGGAATGTCTTTACTGGATTGTAATTCCTTGGTGCAAGCCATTGTAGAGTACATGAAGGACAACTACCCTACTACACCGGAAGAGTTTAACTTTCAGGCGGAACTGAAAGTTGTTAGTCACTGGGACTGGTTCGAAGGAAAAGAGTCACCGAGACGTAAACCAGGTCCTCGTGACGACTTCCGTATAAAAAAGGCAGTGAAGAAAACATTTACAAAATGGTGTAAGGATGTAAGGGATCAAGAGTCAGCCAGTCAGTCCTCAGAATCTGATGACGAGTACATATCAGGTAAAGTTTGAAGTGTAGTTTCATGCTGTACGTGTTTGACCACTGGGGAATAATCAACTGCTATTCACCGAGAAATAGGTGGCTAGTGATGGATATTTACCAAGCATCGAAGGGCTAGGTAAATATCCAGCACTAGCCACCGACACTGAGGTGAATAATTGTTTAAGTATATACTGAAACGGTAGGATAATATGACGCAATAAGATGATTTCGATGCATTTATTTATAAAACGATTACATTTTATTTGGGGTGCAAATCCTGCGCTCGTTTCTCGGTAGTGAATCGCAAAGCATATCCGGGGTTTGTAGATCAGTTGATAAACACAGCCAGCAGATTATTCGCTATTTTCATTATAAATAGTACATACCACTAAGGTGAATGGTTTTCGTGCTTTGGTTGTTTTAATTGGCTAATGCTGATTCAATTTATGTTGTTTCTGAGCAGGTTTAAAAGAAGATATTTGTGCTCTCAAAATGTATTTCAACAAAGGAGGTAAGCATTCAGTGAAAACATAAAATTAATTGATAACTAAAATTTGTATATTGTAAAGTCCATGTAAGTATTATCAAATGCACTTAACAAGAATAAAACATAGTTAACAACATTCATTGAGCCTGAGGTGAATAATTGTTTTAGTGTAATTGCTCAGGTGTCTTCGAAGATCGTTGTAAATTCGGTACCATTCTGTTACAATTGTTTTGATAACTCAGAAAAAACTTCATTAGTTTCTTATAGAAGGTGTACGCCAAACGTAATAGCACATTTTGTGTTTATCAGAATTGCAGTTTGTTAAATCGCGTTTATCAGTTCCTACCAAACATTAACAAAATGCAAGGTAGCTATTTTGAAATTTAGCGTCCCTGCTATAATCACCTGGCGCTAGGTGATTACAGCGTGAAATAATGCAATCCTCGACCAATCAGAACGCACGCTTTTCCATTCTCATCGGAGCAGTTCCACTTAAAGTTTATATATTATCATTATTATTATTACCAGTTTATTATATTAATAAGGTAGACCATTTTTGTAGTCTAAAGAGGTAATAATCGTAAAAGGGTCTCTTAATCAGTTTGGTTATGAACGGTATGTAACTAAATAACATGGAGCTTATCTATCTTTAGAGCTGGAAGAAGATGAAACAGAAAATGAGAAATACTCCTATGTGCAGTATGAAAATGAGGATGAGTGTAGCCCAATAAAACTAAAATTGACCAAGGTGAGCTGGGGAGGCCTGTTATAAGTTTTTTCCTCCAAATGTTCTGGGAAAGATTGTCCATCGTAAGCTGTTTAAAAGACAGAAAATTTACTTAAAAAAATTCCAAATTTCGCTTGCTCTACGAGCTCGTGCAATTTTTAGACCATTTGTTGTCTTTGAAAGATTTACTCGAGCTTATAAAAACCAAATTGCACTCGAAATCGTTTTATTACCTATACAAAACTGCCAGTTTATCTCTTCATTAATTTTTACAGGACAACGCACCAAATGGGGTGGCCAAGAGCGCTCTGCATTTGGATGGAGACTTGCATTACGAGGAGGAAACATTACTGAAAAGAAGATCAGGGAAAAGGGTGCGTCACAAAAGGAGAAGAGAAGAGGATGTATTACGACTAAGATCAAGGAAAATTATACGCAAATCACTAAAATTGGTTATTCCCAAACCAAAAACACTTTCAGTTCAGTGATTTATTACACTTAAAGTAGATGTAGTGTTGTTAGAAACAAATTTTATGCTAATAGCAACAATAGTGAACTCTTCTAACTATTTGCCAATGCAATGCCCTCAGTACTGGGAAACCACCATCTCCAACTCTGCAACTCTTGTATACAACGAGATTCTGCTGAAAATTGAGGGTCTCAATGAGGTCCGTCATTCGTCAAGCATCTAAAGATTTAGATTGGTAGTGCAAGAGATTATAATCTCTTGGTTAGTACCGTCAGCCATTGAAAACGAAGCAAAATATTAACCGTCGAACGCTTCATAGATATTTCACATCATTATTTGAGCCTTTTGCCACCACAGGTAGTCCAAGTTCGCACAGCGAGTTCTGTAAATATGTAAACACGTTGCGCAAAGGGAGAATATAGGGATCTGAACGGTAATAAACGGTCGCACTTGTTGCGTCGGTCGCACCGAAAAATTTGAACTAGTCTTGAGTAGAAACACATTTGTCTCGGTTAATAGAATTCGTTCGTCGGTCAGAATCAGAGCGAGATTCACTCCGAGTTACTTAGCGCTAGAGACAGTCGGAGGGACTGGCCAAAGTACGACGGGAGGGAGAAATGAAACCAGTGTTAGTCATTGTTACTTAAAAAAGAAGGGACAGGTCTATAGTTACCCCTCAACCACTTTGCAGCATTTTATATGTTGGAGGGGTGAAAATGTTTACCACACTATGCTTGAATTGGGAAGGTCAAGAACTGAGAATCAAATAAACTTTAAAACGTCACGAACGTCTTAAGGTTAAAAGCCATAGACATCGGGAAAGTTTATTAATTCTCTTGTATCACATATTCAAGGAATTTAAAGCTGTACATATCGATTTAGAGCACCACGTTTTGGAAGAATTTCTTTTAAATAGTAGTTATACTGGCAACCTTAATGGGAGTCTAGAGCAAAGACTCGCCTTAGACCCATTGATTTAGCATTTTCTTTTTATCCATGCTCTGCAGTTTCAAGATCCAGTAAACACAAACATTCATGATGCACAAAACATTTAATACATTTACACTTATACAATAAGTTTCAGATATGGCTCAATTAGCGATTTTGACACAATTATTTCAATGAACTATACGTATGCGTATATATCCACAATCAATGCTATTACCCTAGAACTGAATTTTTTCGCTGACATGAATATTAAACTTTTACCGCTTCACCAAAAAAGAGTATGTTTGTATTCTTATGTATCTTTTATATATATAAGCGTGAAATTTTCCTCTGCTTGCTAAAGGCTAAATTTCCCCTAACTGATCCACTGAGTTTGACAAACTTTCACTGTTCCGCGTTCCACAGAGTTTTTCTAACAAATTTTCTTCATTAACAAAGTTCATGCGATTTGCGGCTGAACAAAGAGGTCTTTCAGATTCTTAGATCTTTTTTGTCTATCCCTACATATTCTGCTGACAAAAATTTACCGGTCTACCCAAAGGATTGTTTATTTGATGGGTTTCTCTGGTAAACAAAAAGTTCAAATTTAAGGGAACAAGATAGGATACAAAGAAGATCAAGTTAAAGATATATAAAAAATAGAGATGGGTTATTCCCAACCCCAAATACTTCTTAACTGATATCTTGTTGTGGAGCATTTCTGCTCTCAAATTTGATTACTTTGTCTTCTCCTATTTTTAATTGTTTATTAAATAAGACTTTTTTTTATTATCGCTAGAATAGATTTGTAAAATTGAAACAGAAAACGTTGGGGCATAAGATAATTAAACGTAGCTTTCCAAACAGTACTAGCTCGGTTTTGTCCAGAGGTGGGAGGGAGGAAAAGCATTGTTTCCTTGACCTCGCAATGTTTTAATTCACTTTTTCTTGCAATTGAGAAATCAAGAACAAACGTAAGCTCTCTCAGTCTCAGGTCAAAATGAAGTGCAGGTGGATAATACTACCAGTCGTAGCACTACTACAGCCCTTCTTTCATTTTACGTGGGTCAACATTTTCATATCCTTTTTACTGTTGTACATCCGAGTGATATTTCTTTCTTCAGAAAGAAGAAAATTGCTTATGTCTATCTTGATAACCACACAAAATCGAAGATCTAACTCTACTTCTCTCGTGCGGCTTCGTGCGGGTTATGGAGTGTATTTCTTCCAGGGAAGGCAGCTCAGCATCTGGAAGAAATAAAATTGGAAAAGTATCGGGTTGAAGATGAGTCGAGGAACCATCAATTTTTTTGTCAAAAAAAAAAAAAATGTATATATATAAAGAAATAAAATAGAAACTAAAATCATATTAGTAATGTTCAAAATATCATTTTCAATTATGCAGAAGATTAATTTTAGATATTTATTTATTTACTTTTTTTAATTGAAAATTAATGCTTCCGCGCATTGAGTTGTTACGCTTTACTTTTGACGGGACCACAAGCATGTGTGTGTTATCATATCTTGGCTGGTGCAAAACAGAAAAGGAGAGAAGCTGAAACGTCATAAACTTATCGGAGTTTACGGAGCTTTCTTGCGTAAGAATTACTGAATAGACGATGACAAAAGTCTGCTTATTTCTCAATATATCCATTACACCCTTAACTTTAGCTTTAAATCTTTGTTACCCAAAACAAAATTCGGTAACCCCTTAAAAGAGTAAATGAGTTGCAATCAACATGACAGTATTCATTTCCTGCCAAGTTTTGAAAAAATCTGTACGTAATGACCCACCTTAAATTCTAAAAAATAAATCTGCTCGGCTGTGTGTAAAATCTTTTTTGGAATAAATTGCAGTTTTATACATGCCTGTACAAATTCCCTTTGGAATTTACGTCAATAATATTGTCCCTTGTAAAAGGGGTATTGAGGTTTCCCTTCGGCCTAATGTATCCTTTGAGAGGGCGACCCTCAAACACAACTACTTGTTTGGTTACTGATTAAAAGTACGCTTGGTTTATTATAGGGCATCACGGATTGTTTTAACGTCCTCTTTTGAATCTGCCATTTCGATTCAACAAGTTGAAAGCAGAAATATTCCAATGTAGAAAAAAATTGGTTTCATAGACGATTTAGCTGTGTATCCATCTACTTCAGCTATTTAGAACAACAAAAAATACACAAATATTACAAGAACGCGCACACAAGGTTGCATCCTCGGAGACCCAGGAGCTGTGAGTCGATTTCAAGTCAGGTCGGAAGAGCCCCTGGGGACATTGTTCTGTTCGCGATGAATACTGCAAATCTTCAACTTTTCGGGGATCGAGGAGAACGCCACATTCATCCAAAAAAGTAGCACAAAACGAGAGATAAGAGACCCCTGTTCGTAGCGCGATGCTCGCAACCTACCAATAGTGTCTTCTCTGTCGGATGTGCCGGGTCGAAGTTCGGCTATTTCAGCCAATTTACCGTGTTTGTATGGAAGTGCAATACGACTATTATATGGGATTAGCGTAATTTGTTAGGGATCAAAGACGAAACGAGTGTGAACCTCAAAATTTCGTCCAAAACAACAACTCGCTAACACGATAACACACAGATGCTCGCAAGTACGATAATTATTTTCATTTTGTCAAAATTTTTTAATATTAGACCTTTGCCATACAAATCCTTAGTGTTACGAACAGTCACGCTTATTTTTAATCAATTTCTTCATGTAACCTTTAGTCACGCGTTTGCGGTTTCGTTTGTACAGGACACACCCTGATTTTGTGGCTTGATTTTGATGCATCTGTTTTATATAAGATTAGTTGTATTAAGTTCCGACGCTTCGAGACCATTACATATAATAATAAATAATCGAGGATGCAAGTTGTTCTTTTCTTTACGACTTTATGACACTTAGAAGCTTCGGAAATTTTTATTGGGCATTAGGAAAACTCTGCGCATGCTTGGCCGCCATGATGTCCTACATTTCTGCTCATGAAGTAAACTATATGTTGAGGAAACTCGAAATTGACGCTTTCAAAGGCGCTGAGTGGGAAGCGTTGATATAACTACAAATTTCTTCAGAAATGTTGGTATTCTGAGGCAATGAGGCAGTTATCTCAAACACAGATCCTTCGTGCGGGTATCCCCTCCATACCTTGACCGCGGAAGGTTCTTGTAAAGGAATTTAGTTTAAGGTACCGTCTATGAGCGAAAAAAGGGAATGTGTGACCTATTAATTTTTTGTGACTCTTACCATTTTGGTAGACTTTTCTCCACCCTTCAGATGCATATATTTTTTTTATTTTTTGTTATTACTTTTGCTATGTTTTTTTTCTGTTAATGTTTTGTTTTGCTTTGTTTTTTGTCTGTGTATTACTCAGAATTGTGATGATGGAAATTCTGACTTCGATAACCAAAGCATCAGTAGAATGAAGAGTAATCGTCCAGCAGATGAGAATGTCATACCCGATGTTCAAACCAAACCAAACCGTGAGAAGAAAAGTCCAGAAGCTGAGTCGAGCTCAAGGGGAACAAGTTCAGTCGAGCAGGCTGCTAATTCTGGCGAAAAGGGAACCAAGCCCGAGAGGAAAAAAGTGGAGGTTAAGGACGAGCTAAGCAAACTTCTCGACTTCAAAAAGTTTGACATATCCGAGTTGGATTGCATTTTCACGGATTTTAAAACAACACTGGACCCATTCGTCCAAAATCGCGAGGACATGGCCAAAGCAGAGGAATCCTTTAAGAAACCACGCTGGAACAAATCAGTCCGCATGCGCAGTTCAGTGAATATGTGCACGCCCTGAAGACGCGACTCACATCAGAGGGAATTGCAGTCAAGATAAAAGAAGGAGCTCTGGCCATTTACGCAGAGGGCAAAAAGACAGTTTAAGGAATATCTGACGCAGAAGTTGCTATAAATGCCATACTCGAACTGTCGAAGAAATTAAAGGCTATGCCGATGACTATCGCAAGAGGAAGTGAAGATGCAGTCCAGAGAGCTGAAGGAATGGATGTGCAAGGAATCTTGGAACGAGAGTTTAAGAGGGTGTGGGATTTGGGAAAGATCCCGAAGCTCAAAAAGGCCTTCAGCAACAACGTCCAACAAGTGAAGAGAGCTCCTGACATGGTGCGGGATTTCTACAGCCAAGCCAAGAAGATCATCCTTGAAATTTATCATGCTTTTTCCGATGAAGAGGAACAGAAAAAAATTGAAGGGGAGCTGAACGAGGGCGACAGCACTTCAAAAGAAAAAGATAAAAAAGAAGGCAATGAGGCGGAAGGAGAAAATGGAGGAAGCATTAAAGTAAAGCTGAGAAAAGTAAGTCCAACAAGGAAAAGGACAAAGAGGAGTTTCATAAGAAGTTGAAGTTTGATTCAGTGGGTCTTGATGACATTGAAAACATGTTCACTTCCCTCGCAACTGCCATCAATCCGTTCGTGGAAACCCGTGAGAGTCTGCAAGCAGCCAAAGAATCTTTGGAGAATATTTTTAAGGAGATCCCTAACTTTGATGCAAAGAAGGAACTTCAAGAGTACATTTGAGAGTTAAACGACCTTATTCAATAATTCTTAAAGCTAAATCTAACATTTAATATTTTGCCTGAGGTAAAATTCACTTCATCACAATTTTCATCTCATGCTTTTTTGTTAGCTTTTGAATAAAGAGCCAGAGATTAAAAACTGTTGGTAGACAGAAAATTTGAAATCGACGACTGAACTATTATGATTTTGAAATCCATTTATTTCCTCTTTTTATTTTTCACAGCCAGTTTCTTTTCTCAGAAAGAGGGCTTAATGTAAAGTAATCATGAACAACAATTAACAATTATTTACTAAAGTGGAGGTAAATAGCGGTGGACATTAACCGAGCCGCGAAACAGCGAGGTAAATATCCACCACTTTCACCCTTACTGAAGTGGATAGTACTTGTCATTCACCTCAGAACTATCCTATCGGCGCGCCAATCAGCGCGCGCGGAACGCATTACACGATTCACTTGAAAGGTAAATACTAATCACTACTACACGTACATCTAACTTCTAACAAATATGTAACTGCGCGTGCGCCCTTATGTTACCTTAGATTGGTGACGACTGTCAATAATGAATTAAATGGGTTCTTCCTGGTATGTCACGCGACATTCTGCTAAGGTAATAAAACATTAGAAAATTAACAGAGTTAGAAATAACCAAACTCGTCATTGCATATTTCTCCAACACCAAACAGACGCCAAAAAAAATATTGCGGGGAATATGAAGAATTCAATGAGAAAGAGGTAGTTTAAATTTTTTCTGCTCAATTAATGAAATTGAAAAGTAGTTTCCAAAAAAATTCTTACATTTGGATGTTATGACTCAGAACGCAATAAAACTCCAATTTTGAATATGTTATGCTTCTTTGAATTGCAGAAAAAGTCGAGAAAAACGCCATCCTTCTAGATGCTCCACATTGCAAAGGCATTCAAAGATTTTAATCTGATATTTGCCGCTTTTCGTGGGTAGTGCAGTATACACTGCCCTACCCACTATGTCATGAAATCTTCTCAATACATATGTTTTGTTTGATACCTTATTCTCGCGACATGTTTGTCTTGCTGACACGATACAGTGTAAAGTACCTCTAATATTCAGTTTCATGATTTTAAAGCGATAATTAACTGACCCTAAGGTTTCTCTTTCTGGGACGTTTTGGAGTAAATTTTCTATGACTTAAAACTGAAAATGACAGTCGACACACAAGACAGGCATGATATTCTGTACCTACTAAATGTGATATTGGTTGGTGAGTTAATTTTGAATCGGCCCTAATGAGGCGTTTATTTATTTCTTTCAGTAAAAGGTTAGAAAGGAAGTATGCATCATTGATCTTAGAGTAATTATTCTGCTGCTGTCATATCTGCATTCTTCTCCTCGCCTTTCCCTGAATCCATTATGCTTTCAAGAAGTTCTTCCCAGTTTTCTTGCGATGCTTCTGTGGGGATAAAAATGTGAGAATGATCACATAAATATGTAAGTAACTCTCGAGTAGCCCTCGGTAAAATACAATACTTAATTTAACGTAGAACTATGTACTTCACTATTTTGTTCAATTTTAAAAACTACACCTGCTATTTCGCAGGCATACTGTTTTCTGTAGCGTGCACGGAAAAGTCTGTCTCTGTTTACAAAAATTCTTATGGACCATAATTGAAATGCTGAAGTCCAGAATCACACAGGCACCACTTTCCTTGATATCTAGTCAGCTTTCAGCAAATCGCAAGGGTTTTCCCTGAACTTTGCTTCTGCGTGTCCATGACATGTTGAGGGCGTGGTGTGAGTTTTCAGAACCAATCACAAACTGACGCAAAAAAAAGTATGATTCTTTTACATTCAATCATTAATTTAAGTTAGATTACACCCTGCTTAAAAGCTATTTTCCCTGTGATTTAATTCTCGTTTTAAAGAATGATATCAATATTATCTTACCGCTAATCAATTTGAACAGGCAGCCATATTCATGGATCACGTCTCTCTGCACCGAAGCTAATCTCAGGAACAACTGCTTTGGCCTGGCTCGAATTCCAAGTTTTTGAAGAAAGTCACAATCATCCTTCGTTAGTGGTTTGTCGAGTTGTAACTGCCTTGAGCCACTTGTCAAAATCTGTTCAAACTAATGAAAGACATTGTAAACTAGGAGTCTGCAGTAGAAGCAAGTTGCTAAGACGGCAGCTTATTCCGTTTCAGTCATCGTCAGGTACTCCCCTCCCCTCCCCTCCTCTTTCCCCTCCGAAAATCGGCAATTTTTCTTAGAGGGAGACCTTCACAGTTAAGACACGTTAAATTATCCACACTTGGAAAAATCATCATCAAAGATAAAATTTGTTGGCGTCGAAGTGATAAGGTATTTGTTATCAGGAAAATCCAGATAGACTCGGCCATTCTGAACCTGTAATTTTGTGTCACAGCTGCCACTATCATCTGCAAGACCCTGCGTCAGTTGCGTGGAAGAGTTGAAAGTCTTATCAAGTTAATTTTATCGACTCGGATAGTATGACGCGGATAGTATAACATGTTATTTTAAGATTTAATAATGGAATGTACGGCGTTGTCAGAACTTACCCAATTCAAATACCTAAGTATCTGTGTTTTCAGCTGAGTACCATTCTCTGCAGTGATCAGAAGTTTTCTGATATCTTCTACCTTTCCTTTATCTTTCTCTGTCAGGAAAATCCCACCTGAATTTGTGAAAATTAAATACTAAGAAGGACCTAAGAGAAATCGATGTATGTTCTGCTCGTTTGACCTATAGAGATACTTAAGACATTAGATACTCGAGAATACACTCTGGTTCATGTCCATCATATCATCATATTTTATTCCTGTAGTCTGCTTAAACACCACCCTCATGGGTTTAGTCCTCTCACCCGCACTGGCTGGTACTCTGTTACCCATTCGGATGGAGTAGATCATTTTGTAACTGACGTAAGTGTCTCATGGACCTCTCATGTAAACTGTGACT